TTGGTCCTTTGGTTGCATATGATGCAATAATGGTTTCAAGACGGGACTGACGGCAGCTGCTGAAGTGAATTCCTGATGAGCTAATTTCAGCAGTCAATGCTAAAATATGGAAAACTTCTTTCAGTACCAAACGATTCCCTGGTTATGATTCTGAGAGCAAGGAGTTCAATGCAGAAGTACATCGGAAGCACATCATGGGTCAGAATGTCGCAGATTATATGCGTTACCTAATGGAAGAAGATGAAGATTCTTACAAGAAGCAGTTTTCTCAGTACATAAAGAACAACGTAACTCCAGACATGGTAAACAATCTATCTAAAAGTACCTGTTTTATTACAGAAGCAAGTTTACTATTTTTGGTAGGCTGTACTCTTAAATAAGATTTCAGACTAGTAGTTGAAAATTAAAATAGGTATGGATAGACTTCCAACAAGCTAAGCTATTCTTGGAATGAACTTAGAATGTTGGTACGGTGGTGTAAGGGATGAGCTGGTTTTGTCAGCAGTTTTTTAGAAATCTACCCAGGCTTGAAGCATATGAAGCCTTTGCTGCTTTGTATTTTAGCTGTTATCTATATTATATTCCTTTGGTATACTTTGATATGGTGTGTACTATATGTTAATTTTGCTAGTTTTGGAAAGAGGGAAGAAAATACATAGGGATCTGTTCAAATTCTGTCACTGTGTCTGAATAACATAGAAATAATAGGAACCATGTCAGCAAAAGTGAGTTTAATGTTACAAATGTTATTAGTCTGAAGTTGGCTCTCCAGTAGTTCTTAAGACTGAAATAACTGAAGACCATTGTACCAGTTTTGAAATTCTAGTGAAAATGTTGAACATAAATAAGATGTAAAGTTAGTGTCAAGTAATTTATTAGGGTCTTTTCTGTTAGTAATGCATGACAGTTTCTACTTTGGCACAGCTTGGCTATGAAAACTTTAGTCATAATAAAAGATAGGCTGGGTGCTGGTAGCTCATGCCTATAATCCTATCTACTGGTTTGGGAGACTTGAGATCTGAGGATCACAATTCAAAGCCCAGCCTGTAGGGAAGTCTGAGACTCTTATCTCCAATTAACCACCAGAAAACTGGAAGTAGAGCCCTGGCTCAAAGTGGTAGTCTTGAGCAAAAGAGCTCAGGGTCAGTGCCCAAGCCGTGATTTCAAGCCCTGCCACCAACCCAAAAAAAAAGGAAAAAGGAAAGAAAGATAACTGATTTGTATGCTTTCAAATGGTCTAAGGCTGAATAAGCACACAGCTGGAGTTTTTGAAACAGTAGCTTTGCTTTTAGTTTGGTTTTGCCTAGCCTCCAGAAGCTCCCATTCTGTGCTTACAGTTTGTGTTGGTACGGGCCTCGAATTCACTTTCTTGGCTTTTTCGCTCAAGGTTGACACTCCACCACTTGTCACAGCTCCAGTTTCTTTTTGGTACTAAGGATTGGTTCAGGTTTTGTGTACTGAAAACAGATGCTTTTCTGACCTAGCCTTGTCTTCTGACCTAGCTACAGTGTTTTTTCCTCTACAGACATTCGAGGTGTCCAACTGGAAAGCGACTTACCTAGATTTGTTATCTATGTAAATGTGTAGTTGTGTTTATAATCCCTTAAAAGGAACTGGATTTGTTAAAACCAAAATTTAAGTCAGATTTATTAAATATAGTGAATAGCTGAAGAAGAGTAATAAAGAGGTAGGAAAAATGAACTGTGAAAGAGCAATATAGCATGACCGTACACAGTGCTTGGAGGCTGCTGCAGAGGATAAGTTGGAGGCTGCATGGGCGAACATGTTTGCAATAGCATTTGTCAGGTCAGGTTTCATACCATTTTCTCCATGCCAAATGAATTAATTTAACTTTGATATTTGCTGGGAACTTTGCCCAAGCCATCATTTATGCAAACTACTAATGAGGCACAGACCCACCTGGATTTTTGGTGGGGAGGTTGGTACTGGGGTTTGAACTTAGCCTTGAATTTGTTAGGAAGGGCTCAGAGCTGTGATTTAAGAGGCAGTAATTAGATAATTCATTGGTTACCTTGGATTTTTTAATAAGCTTTAGGACAAAAGTGCCTAATTAGAAATCTAATTAGAGGGGCTGGGAAGGTAGCTCAGTGGTAGAATGCTTGCCTTGCATGCATAAGGCCCTGGGTTTGATTCCTCAGCACCACATAAGCAGAAAAAGCCGGGGGTGGTACTGTGGCTGAAGTGGTAGAGTGAAAGCCTCCAGCTGAAGAGCTGAGGGGCAGCGCCCAGGCCCAGAGTTCAGGCCCCATGACCAGCAAAAGAAAGAAAGAAAGAAATCTAATTAGACAGCCTCTTTGGGTTTTCTAGAAAATTTCAGACCTTTCTAGTTCTATTAGTTCTGCCAGATAGTGACTGTTAGTGACTAGTATATCAGAAGAGTTCAATGATTTATTAAATTGTTTCGAGAAAACCTACTAGGCAGAAATTAGAAACCTTCAGAATGTGGAATGGCAAAGTTTTAGCAGTTGTCTTAGCTGCAGATACACCTTGCATCTTTTTTTTTTTGGGGGGGGGGTTGGTCGTGGGGCTTGATCTCTGGGCCTGAATGCTGTCCCTCAGTTCTTCAGCTCAAGGCTAGCACTCTACCACTTGAGCCACAGTGCCACTTCTGGTTTTCTGTTGGTTCATTGGAGATAAAAGTTTCATGGTTTTTCCTGCCTAGGCTGGGTTTTTTGGGGGGGAGGATGGGGGGGGTCTGGGCGTGGGGCCTGAACTCTGGGCCTGGGGGCTGTCCCTCAGCTCTTCAGCTCAAGGCTAGCGTGCTACCACTTTAGCCATAGCACCACTTCTGGATTTTTTCTTTTTTGTTTATGTGGTGCTGAGGAATCGAACCCAGGTCCTCATGCATGCAAGGCAAGCGCTCTACCACTGAGCCACTTCCCAGTCCCTGGGCTGGGTTTTTGAACAGTGATCCTCAGATCTCAGCCTCCTGAGTAGCTAGGATTACAGGCGTGAGCCACAGACACCTGGCTTAATACCTTGCATCTTAATGTCTTACATATTTGGTTTTCCCATTTGTCTTCATTTGACTGAAAGAATATGGGTCAGGTAGTATTTAGAATGAGGAGCCCAGTGCTTCGCTATGGAAATAAAATTACTGGGCTGGGCCTGTAGCTTAGTAGATTGCCTAGCATGCATCAGCCCTGGATTTGATCCCAAGCAATGCAAAAATTTTTTTCCTGAGAGAGACTCAAGTATGGCTGAATTACTTCAGTACATGCATGTTTTCTTTTAACTATTGGCAAGGATGGAGTTTTAACTGGTTTCAACTTGCAGCACATGCTGATTTTTTTTTCCATTTTTGTGGATAAGGTCAATTCATGGTACATAAACTTTGGGGAGGAATTTGGTAGGAAAGGAATTTTAGGAATTTATATAGGTACCAATATTGACCTAGTTTTATTATTATTATTATTTTTTTGGTCAGTTGTAGGGCCTGGGCAGTGTCCCTCAGCCCTTCAGCTCAAGGCTAGAGCTTTACCACTTGAGCAACAGCACCACTTCCAGCTTTTGCTGCTTATGTGGTGCTAAGGAATCGAACCCAGGGCCTCATGCATGCAAGGCAAGCACTCTACCACTGAGCCACCTTCCCAGCCCTATTCCTTCTGAGAATTGAACTTAGAAGGTCAAAATAGAGCTGGTGGTAACATATTGTACTTTAATACAGTAGGGCATATGAAATGAAACCAAGTACTGTTTGCTTTCCTTTGTTTCAGATGGAGGAGATGTACAAGAAGGCTCACGCTGCTATACGAGAGAATCCAGTCTATGTGAAGAAGCCCAAGAGAGAAGTGAAGAAGAAGAGGTATGTGTGTTACAAGAAGTTAGGGACTTCCTTTATACTGCCTTGTTCATATTGTGGGTCAGATTTGAAGTTGTGCAAACTCGATCACTAGCTCTGCGTAATGTAGCAGAAGCTAAGGGAACCAGGTTTGCTAAAGTAATTGTGGTGATGGGAATGTATTTGCCTCAGAAGCTACTGAGGTGGCACCTCCTATCCTAGAACACAGTAATTCTGTATTTTCAAATTGCCTATTGAAAAGAGTTGCCCTTTTTTTCTTATTGACATTACTGAGGTTATTAACATCAAAAAATTTCTTTGTTTTATAGGTGGAATCGTCCTAAAATGTCCCTTGCTCAGAAGAAAGATCGGGTAGCTCAAAAGAAGGCAAGCTTCCTCAGAGCTCAGGAGCGGGCTGCTGAGAGCTAAACCAATTTTCTATGAAGATTTTTTTCAGAAAGACAATAAACTTATTGACAAGCAGCTATTTCTGTGTTAAGCTCTTGTTATGAAACTGTAGGAAACCATTATCAAGTATAAAAAAAGCAAAGGACTTTACCATTTTTTCCAAGACTCAACCTTGGCTTTTTTTTTTTTTTTCATTTTTTCCTACTGTTTTGCCTCTATTGATACTTGAACTTGGGGCCTGGTACTTTTTTAGCTTTTTGACTCAAAGCTGGCATTGTACCATTTAAGCCATATCTCCACTTTTGGCTTTTTGCTGGTTAACTGGAGATTACCATACTTTCTGCCTAGCCTCCATCTTTGTATGGCCGCCTCCTGAATAGCATAAGCCACCAGCATAGCTTTTTCTTTTTTTTTCTTTAAAGATAAAATGACTGTCCATCGATTGTGTGTATAGCTCTCTAAAAGTACAGCAAGCAACAGGCCAACAATTATCCAGAGTTTCATCCATTTATTATAACCAGCGGGAAGGTACCTTAAAGTATACAATCTTAAATAAACTGGTGTGCTAATGGTTTTAATTTTTGCAGAAATACTAGGACTTCTTCAAAAGAACGTTTAATTTTAGGATGTTAAAAGGTAAGTATGTCATGTATGAAAGTAACAAAAAGCTCAGATATTAAACCTTGAATATCAAACTATTAGGGGAATATTAAGTAAGTTTATTTGCTTCTATAAGAAATAGCCCTTTGGCCCATTTTGGAAAAATTTATGGAACAGATTCCCATGGTATTTCAGTTTTGTTTTTTTTTTATATCCCACTTTCTCCATGGCTCAAAATCAGGATTTGTGGATCTTGTCTGAGTTTGGCCTTAAGATGTCAGGTTTTTTTTTATTTTACTTTGCACTGTTCTTCACACTTAGCACAGAGCTACATCTTCAGTCCAAGGAAATAAGTGGAGGTCTGGTTGAAGCTAATAAACCATGCTATTAACCCAACATCGTTTTATAAAGGAATAATTTTAATTCATCTGCTTTGCAGTCTTACTTAATTTGTTATGTGCAAACTTTACCATGCTAAGACATTATAAATTTATGAATACACTTTCCTTAACAGCAGCTTTGATGCAAACAATGTTTCCGGCAATGGGTATTTTGGCTAACAAACCTACCAAACACTCACTGTTTATGGAATGAGGGTTCTCACAGTATTTTTTAAGTACACAGTGAATGTACTTGTGAAATGTAATAGAATGTCCTTCAGGAAGGACAGGAATGAAATCTTTTGGGGCATATTGATCCTATACCTCTGGCCATTACTTCTGCAGTTATGTGCATTGATGATGACTTCACAGGCCAGAAGAAGGGATCTTCAGTCAGAAACCATTGTTTTAGATTCTTAAAAGTTGTTCTTCAAAACTTAGAAGTTTCCTACAATGGGAACAATGTCTGAGTTAACTAAGAATCATTTGTGTAGGAGATTTTTTTCCATAATAATGTTTTTAGATTATTTAGTATTAAAGAATGTTCCATTTCCATTTGATTTGCTGTGACTTTGAGAGCAATACAAGAATAGAGCTGCTTTTCTAATTCTTCACGGATTTCACTTGGAGCACCACGCAGTAGGTAGTCTTTGAGTAGCTGACAAGCTTTTGCCAAGTTTGGCTGTATCACTTCAGAAGTACACTTCATTGTATTCTGGTCACAGCTAGTTCTGCAATCTGTGCCATAGACACAGTCCAGATCAGACTCACAGTGACGATCCTTAATAAGTTCTTTAAGGTTTGTCTCTGGCACGATTTTTCTCATATCCACCATTTTCAAGTCATATTTTTCATTATATCCTAGGTTTTTGGCACTAGTGTCACACATAAGAAAGTTTCCATAGGGCCCATGGAAGACATCTTCCACAAATTCCAAGAGTCCTATGGCTATTTTAGCCTTCCTTGGCCAGGATGGTGTGAACAACTGGTCCATGCTTCTTCTGAACCCAGATGGGATAAAAAGCTCAATGACCCATGGAAGACTTATTCCATAAAGAGAGGTATATTCAACACTTTCCATCACATAGAGGTCACCACAGAACCCCATTAGTTTGGGGGTATGTTCCTTATCTTGCAGTATCACCATGAGAAGAAATTCATTTAACTGGAGAAGGGCCCATGCTGACTTGGCTTCTCCCAAGGAAACCTGTCCATCTTTGTCTCCATCAGCCACCGTCAAAATGAGGTTCACTAGTTCAGAGAGGTTTCCTTGGTCACCCAATTTTGCCTGCCAAGACAAGAATCTTAATGTAACAAGATTAGGAGAATCAGGAGCTATGATTTGCCTTTCTTTAGAGGGCTACCTAAGTCTGTTTTATCCTTTGAAATAGTAAAATTCTGTCAGTTCAAGGTTTATCTGACAAAGTCCTGAAGATTACTAGGGATTTGGGCCTATCCCATTCATTTTGCACACTGAGAACTATTCTAAGGATTAGGAGTTTGGGAGAACATGAGCACAGGTATATACCCAATTTAGAATAAAAGCTACAGGTCTCAATTGGAGTCGAATTCCCCATTTCCTGCATAGAGAGCAGGGAATGTTTCAACATTTCTCCCTGTTTTAACACTATTAAGCCAAAATCCTTGCTAAATTTTCACTTGGACTTTTTTTTTTTTTTGGCCTGACCTAGGGCTTGAATTCTGCCTGGGCACTTGTTCAAGACTAGCAGCTCTACCACTTTGAGCTGGAGCTCCACTTTTTGAGTTTTTGAGTGGTTAATTGGAGGTGAGTCTCATGGGGACTTTTCTGCCCAGGCTGGCTTTGAACGACAATCCTCAGATCTCAGCCTCTTGAGTAGCTACGATGACTACAGGAGTGAGTACTTTCTGTGTCTCAGTCTCAGCCATGCATGGTAGACACTATGTCTCTTGTCTGGACTGACTGAGGACAACAGGCAGGAATGGAGAAGAGAAGTACTGCTCCAGCTGTCCAATGGTATTCATTTTCTTTCAAGTAACTCAGTCCCAGGACTGTTGTGGCCCTAGTTGGAGGAAGCAAGTCATGCATCCCTAGGACAGGTCTTTATACGTCCCTAGGACAGGTCTTTAGGGGCTGGTATTTTGTCCCTGGACCCTTCTAACCTTAATACTGCTCCCAGCCAAACAGGAAGTTGCCTGAGTCCCAGGCTCCTGCTGCAATGATGTTCTCAGGTGCAAAGGGCCAAGATAAAATGAACCAAAATCTTTGAAGTTGTTCTTTCAGGTATTTTGGTTACAGCAGTAAAGATGGCCTAGCTTTCTCAGCCTCATGGGTAGCACATATGACCAAGCCTGGCCAGATGCACTCGTTTTTGTTTTTTATAGTATCATTTTTAATGTCAAAACGCATAGAAATAGAACTAATGAACTCCCTATTCATATCTGGATGTTAATGTTAACATCCTCAAATACTTTGACTTCCTTAGGATTGAATCTGATGGATGTCAAAGAATCTCAATGTTTAATGACTTATGGTGATGTATGTGAATAGATACACAGTTGTCCCTAGCTGTATTGCAATTCACTTACTGTGTTTTCACTGATTCACCATATTGCATTTTTAAAAGCTAATTCTGTGCTGTTGAATTTTAGCTATATCATGAGATTTTGGAGTACATAGCTGTTTTCATAATACTCAAGATTTTAATTATTTTTGCCTAAAAATTTAAGGCAAAAAAAATGTTAGTTAAGAAATTGGAATACAGGGGCTGGGAAGGTGGCTCAGTGGTAGAGCGCTTGCCTTATATGCCTGAGGCCCTGGGTTCGATTCCTCAGCACCACATAAGAAAAAAGAAAAAAGCTGGAAGTGGTGCTGTGGCTCAAGTGGTAGAGTACTAGCCTTGAGCTGAAGAACTGAGGGACAGTGCCCAGGCCGAGTTCAGGCCCCACGACTGGACCCCCCCCCCCACACACAAAAAAAATTGGAATGCATACACACACACACAACTGTACTCACCTTAAAGAGACTGTAGACCATTTCTTTGAATTTCTGTACAGTAGTTCCCCTAGTTGGTTTATCAAATAGCACTATTTCTTTTCTTGGCTCCAATTCAGTTCCAAAATCAAGATGAAGTGCTTGTTCCATTTGACATTTCACAACTCCTGGTAAATTATCCCAAATCCCTAAATACATCTTTGTGAAGAAGAACAGGTTTCATTATAAAGTAGAAATCTCAAGCATATGCATACACACTTCAGTAAAAGTGTAAGTGTACTAGGGAAGAAATGTAATAAGCTGAAAACTGGTCATGTTTACAATGAGAATGACAGTGATTGTTACCCAGCACAAGTTTTTATTGTGGTTTAAGGGGTTTGTAGTATTAAACCCATCCCCAGGATCAGTCACTACCTCCTGGCTGGAATGAAGCTTATTATTCTTAAATTGGTAGACTACTCCAAAACCCATCTGTGAGTTAGGCACCAATGAGGCCTATAATCCTAGCTACTCAGGTGGCTGAGATATGAGAAAAGTCAGACTCTTATCTCCAATTAACCACCAAAACACTGAAGTGGAGGTGTGGTTCAAGTGGTAGAGCACCAGCCTTGAGTGAAAAAAAAGGGCCAGTGCCTAAACCAGGAGTTCAAGCCCAAGTACTAGCACACACAAAAAGGAAAAATTGTGACATTCCAAGACCTTGGAGGAACACACATGCTGCTGGAAAGTTGAACGGTCTGTCTCTCTGACCTTGTGATTTCCTCTTCTAGCCTAGGCTTCTTTTTATTTCATCATCCATGCCTATCATTGTCTCCTCAATGACTGAAGACCTAAACTCTGTTAGAGAATGGGTAGTGGAAATCAGTCTGGTATAGAATGTAGGCCAAACTCCTGCCTTTATTCTCTGCTTGGTGTGGGTGTGATACCAGTACTAGGACTTGAATTTCATGCATGCTGGCGAAGTCCAGCTTGTTTTTTATTTTTGGGCTGGCTAATAGAGGGTAAGAGTTTTGAAGCTTTGTCTGCCCAGGCTGGCCTTCAAACTGCAATCCCCAGATCTCTACCTCCTGAGTAGCTAGGATTCAGTCATAGCTACAGATGCTATTTTAATTTCTGTTTTAGACATAGGTTTTTGCTGTGTAGCCCTGGCTGGCTTCAATGGAGACCTGAAACACATGAAGACAAACACAGACTGAGGACGGAAGCTGCAGGTGGAATGGCCCTGTGGGCTGTAAGCTGCAGGGCTGTAGGGGGAGTCTATCCACGCCTGCCTGTGGGAGTCCATATCACTCACTGTATAGTGTGGGCCTACCTGAATGCCAAAACCCAGTGTGCTCCATTGGGTTTTGGTCTCACATTGGCTTGATCCTTTTCCTATTCCCTGTGCCTCCATTGGCAATGGTAATGTTTACCTGGTGCCAATCTATCTTAGAAGTTTAAGTTGTTTTTTATTTTCATGGGGCTAACTGCTAAATTTTCCTTGAGTTTAGACTTTGGACTTGGCTTTTTTTTCCTGGTCCTGGGATTTGAACTGGGGGCCTGACACTTTCTTGGCTTGCTTGCTTGACTGGCTGACATACTATCACTTGAGCTATGCCTTTAGTCTGGCTTGTTGCTGGTTATTTACTTTTTGTTGGTCATGAAGCTTGAAATCTTGGCCTGGGTGCTGCCGTCCCTCAGCTCTTCAGCACAAGGCTAGCACTCTACCACTTGAGCCACAGCACCACTTCCGGTTTTCTGGTGAAATATTGGAGATAAAGAGTCTCATGGACTTTCCTGTCCATGCTGGTTTTCAACCATGATCTTCAGATCTTAGCCTCCTTAGTAGTGAGGATTATAGGTGTGAGCCACCTGTGCCTGGCTTGCTGGTTATTTTGGAGATGGAGTTTCAAAGACTTTCTGCCTTGGGTTAGGAAGGTGGCTCAGAGGTAGAGTGCTTGCCTTGTATGCATGAAGCTCTGAGTTCAATTCCTCAGCACCACATATGCAGAAAAAGCTGGAAATGGTACTGTGTGTGGCTCACGTGGTAGAGCACTAGCCTTGAGCTGAAGAGCTGAGGGACAGCACCCAGGCCCAGAGTCCAGGCCCCAGGACTGACCAAAAAAAAAAAAACAAAACAAAAAACTTTCTACCTGATGTGGCTTGGAACTTTAATCCTCCAGATCTTAGCTCCCTTAGTAACGAGGATTATATATGAGCCACAATTGTCAGCTAGATTTGGACTTTCACGAAATGCAAGTATTAAAAATTGGTGAGTTGAAATAGACTATGCTGCACTGTGAAATGGATATAAGCCGTTAGCGGGGCTGGGGTGGAGTACTTGGTTTGGATAAGTATCCCCAAAGGCCCATGTGCTACAAGAATAGCCCTAAGTGTGGTGCTACTGGGTAGTGATGGAAGGGGGTGGGGCTTAGTAGGGGGTTGTAGGTCACAGGTCATATGTCCTTGAAGGGTAAGGAGGGATGCTACTCTCTCCCCTTCTGGTTGTTTTTTTTTGTTTGTTTGTTTTGTTTTTTTTCTCATCCTGGGACTTGAACTCAGGGCCTGGGAACTGTTCTTGAGCTCATTTGCTCAAGGCTAGTACTCTACCACTTTAAGCCACAGCTCTACTTCCATTTTTTGGGTGGTTAACTGGAGATAAGAGTATCATGGACTTTTCTCTAAGGGCTGGCTTTGAAGTGTGATACTCAGATCTCAGCCTTCTGAGTAGTTAGGATTGCAGGTGTGAACCTAAGCTTTCTCCTTTTCTCTTTCTTTCCTGGTGAGAAGAATGAGCTTCTGTTACCATGTACTCCCATCATGACGGCTCATATCAACCTGTTGACCATGGACTGAAACCTACAAAGCTGAATGAAAACAATTCTTTCTTTTAAAATTTATTGCCTCAGATATTTTGGTACAGTAATGGAAACTGTTTAACACAGTCTAGATGCTTTAAACCAGGCATTGATGGCTCACACCTGTAATCCTAGTTACTCAGGAGGCTGAGATCTGAGGATTGAGGTTCAAAGCCAGCCTGAGCAGGAAAGTCCATGAGACTCTTGTCTCCAATTAACCACCAGAAAAGGGAAAGTGGCGCTATGTCTCAAATGGTAGACATCTGGCCTTGAGCTGAAGAGTACAAGGACAGTATCCAAGCCCAGAGTTTAAGCCCCACGATGGACAAAAAAATAAGTAGCCAGGCGCTGGTGGCTCACGCCTGTAATCCTAGCTACTCAGGAGGCTGAGATCTGAGGATTGCGGTTCAAGGCCAGCCCAGGCAGGAGAGACCGTGAGACTCCTATCTCCAATAAACCACCAGAAAACCGGAAGTGGCACTGTAGCTCAAGTGGTAGAACGCTCACCTTGAGCTGAAGAGCTGAGGGACAACGCCCAGGCCCAGAGTTCAAGCCCCACCATCACAACAACAACAAAGTAATTGTGTTAATGATGGTTCCCATTAAGCTGCAACCACACCATTACTGTTCCAGAATGTTTCTCTGTATCACCTACCTGATTGTTGGGCTTGGTGGATAAGCATTTTCCAAAGTAAAGTGTTTCTGTTACACAAAGACTGTTACATGCAGGCCCATCAATAACTCCAGTCTTGTACTTGTCACACTGGAAACCAGAAAATAAAAAGTGGTTAATAGATTGGGGCTGGGAAGGTGGCTCAGTGGTAGAGCGCTTGCCTTGCATGCCTGAGGCCCTGGGTTCGATTCCTCAGCACCACATAAGCAAAAAGAAAAAAGC